AGTGTGGCAGAAACCAGAGAGATCATCGTGGCAGAACCCATTCTTGTGCAGGGTGGGTTCATCAATGAACATGTCAGAAATTGAAGAAACTGTGGGAAAGTCTATTCAGCACACTGACAAAATGAACAGTAACAAGTTGCTAGGAGCAATGGCTTTTGTCCAAAGGTTTCAAAGGTACTCAAGAATGAAATAGCTGAATTACTCTCAGTAGTGTGCAACCCGTGCTTAAAGCTGCCTTGGTACCCGAGGGAGGGGAAAGTGGTGAAAGTGATGACAATTTTCAAAGGGTTTACATGGGTTCAAAGGGTGAATGGACAACTTCATGGCAAAGAAATCTACTGAGGGTGTCTAAGCCACAGAAACCACATTTGAAGACTGGGAGAACATTAATGGAAAGTGTGATATGTTTGCCCTATTCTTATTCTTCATCTTGAGTCCCCCCTGAGAGGAGGAGGCTAGAGGAAGAGAAATCAGGGAGAAATCAGATGATTATGGTGGCCAATGAGTGAAGAAGAGGAGTGGATGAAGGCCAAATGATTAAAAATATAAAACCAGGAAATCAGGAGGGGCCACAGAACGTAACATCTGCAAGAGGACCTGTGGTCTCCTGAAGGCAGCTGAGGTGCTAGATGGTGGATGCTGCCAGTGACTCTCTGTACAGAGACATGACAGCACAAGGGAATAGAAGTAAGCTCCGCAATTACCAGGATCCACTCCCCCCACAATCAGGCATCCTCCTCCTGGAGCTGCAGGTGGCCAGTGTGGCCAGGGACAGATGGAGGAGGAGGTCCCAGGGCTTGCTGGGGCTTCTGATGGTGAAGGTGAGGAGTAAGTACAGTTAGAGCCCAAGAGGTTCTGGAGGACCTGGAAGAGGTCTGGCAGCAAGGCATACCACTCCTTGATGCTTATGTCCCCAGTGGGCTGTGAAATCCATGCTCTCATCTGCCAGTGTAAAGGAAGTGTGTGCTGTGATCCATCTCCTGAAGGATGGGGATGCATGCCTGGATGAATGTTGCCTGATGCCATTGGAGCCAGCTGTGACCTGCAGAGCTGTTGGCTCTTGTTGTAAGACATAGAGAGGGTTGTGGACAAGACATTTTGGCAGAGCTGCTGATGAAGGTTGTCAGCAGCAGTCACAGAAGGGTGGGAGTGTCAGCAGCAGAAGTGTAGAAATTGGTGGTGGCCCTCTCTTGTCCCTTCTCCTGGTTCAGAGGTTGTACGGACAGAGTCTGAGAGAAGGAGCTCCTGATGTTGCAGCCACTGCATCCCCCTGGGGACATGGATAGGGCTGGTCCTGATTTCTCTGCAGTCTGCTGCTGGAGAGCAAGAATCCGTGGGGAGATGCACTTCTGCTCCGCTTTGGTATGTCTGACCCTGTGGACCTTCAGCCCCGTTTGATGTCGCCTCTGACCACAGCTCTGCCACACACTGCCTGGGCTACCATGGACTTCATAGGAATTGCTAGCAACTGCTGCTGGCTCCAGAGGCCAGACTGAAATCAGCCCTCCTCACTCCAGATGAGCTTTTTGAGTTTCTCAGTTAATTTTTATCCAGAGGGAGCATCTGCCATTTTTCAGTGTCTGCTCATCACTCATTGAAGGAGATGCATGTGAACCCACTGTTCTGTATGCTGGGAGAAACTGTTTTTTCAGCTGATCTAACAGTATTTTTGGCATTAAGTAGGAGCTGGGCTGACCTAGCATGACACATTATGCTGTGGCGTGGAGGAGTGGAGCGGGAGATCTGCAGAAGAGTTTTGTCTGAGACACAAGTTAGGGAGTGATTGTAAAAAAGCTGAAGGCTTTGGGAGAAGGCCCCAGTTTCTCTCTAGATAAAGAAGAAAGCCCAATACTTTTATTTATTTATTTATTTTTGAGGGGGGAGAGAGTAGAATGTTAAAAAAGTTTGATTAGCCTTATGTACTCTTGACAGAGAAAAGCCCAGAGGCAGTGTTCCTGCAGGCCGATTCTAGGGAGGAGAAGCAGCTATTGTATAGCTCTGAGATGACTTTCTCTAAGAAAAGAGCTATGTGGCTATTGAAAAGAAATCCTTGATGTCTGTGGGCTTTCAAGAAGATGCAGCCTTGTCTATGTGGGAGTCATTTCACTGCAAATGTGTGTGAACCACCTGCTACTCATTGAGCAGATCCAACAACGGGCTGTAATGCCAAACTCTGGAGATGGAGCTTGCTGCTTCAAGTTGCTGACCTGGAAGAAACGTATGGTAGGAGAACATAAACACTGGCCACCCCACGCCACCCCTAGAATGTGAGTTCCAGTGATTCCTGGTGGTTCATTGACAAAGATGGGGGAGATGGGGGAATGTTCTGTATTATTTCTGTGGTCAGTGTGGAAAGCTTTCCTATTACATACTAGACTTAAATGAGTTACTTTCCATCATTGCCTGGGGGACTAGGAGAGAGAGATTTTAGCTTTGAGTCATTCCCATACATTAGGCCCTCCACTGTAAGTCTGCTAGAGGCCAAGGATGACTGGTGGAATTTGAAGCTTCTCAGCCTGAGCATGTGGTTGTGAGGTGGGAACAAGCTTCATAAAGCTCAGCTTTCTCCTCTGTGGGGAGGTGTAATCTGGACTTTATTTGAAAACCTTGAGAGCTAGTCTACCATTTTCATTGAGAGGTAGCGAGAACAATCATCCTTGCTACTGAATATATTACACCTTATTCTATTTTGAACATGCCTAAATTTAACCTGCAGCTGTTGATTCTTGCTATGCCATTTTTTACAGGTCCTGATGCCATTAGTGCTCCGTATTTTCTGTGGTATAGCTAAGAGATTTTTTACTAATCTAGGAAAGTCAGAGTAATGTCTCTAACTCTTTCCCCATCGGGGGTTTTCGTAGCTTCCTAATTGGTCTTGTCATTAGGCTCTAGACCATCTCCAAGTTTTCAACATGTCCATCCGGCCAGCCCATGAGTGGCTTCATTGATTCCTGCTCCAGGGTTCAAGACCTTGAGTTTAATCTGCCTGCTAACACTCAGTCCCTTTGTGAGCTCCCTTTCCTGAGTCCCAGGTCTTAGGCTACATTTCTGTTTGGTGAGGGTCCTACAATTTCCCTTTCTTCACAGGGTTCAGCCTGCCTGTTCACCAGCCACAGACCCTTGCAACAGGCTTGCCTCCATAGAGTTGTGAGGGAAGTGCACAGACAGAAAGCAACCGTTCAAAACTAAAAGTACTGATTTATTGGTAGGGCATCAAAAGTGAAGAGGAAATGATACAAGCAGAAACTGCTTCTGCCAGCAGTTACACTCTCTGGCAGTCACTGTCACTGCTACATATCCTTTCAGGTCAAGTGCCTTTTTATAGTGATTTATGGGCGTTGAGCTAGCATGGTGGGTCCCGCACCCGAGGAGATTCCACAGACATTACTGAGCATTCTTATGTTGTTTGAATATGCTCACCTAAGCATTTGACCCATGCTGATCTGAATGAGACTCTCAGCTTTAGCTACTGATCTTCTTGCCATTTGCAGATTGTGTCAACAATAATTTCTGTAATTATATTACCTGACACAAACATTGAATAGCACTGAGCTCCCTGTCAAAGAAGCATACACTTTCAGCAGTGACTGATGCTTCTTTTTGGACAATTATTTTTTGAGATTTGTCAGTAAGCCAGTAATTAATCCATACAATACAAATCATGATCTTTATATGCACTGCTATTTTCCCTTCAGAATGTCATGCTTCTTTACAAATGTCTTCGTTTGTTAAATCTGCATCAGTACTTTTATCAATCAAATGTATTATTTTGTAAAGAAATGAGTTAGGTATGTTTCTCACAACTTTTTAAAAATAAAACCACATACTACATTATTATTTTTATTTTCATTTTCTTTTTTGAAGTCTTTGTAAGCTGCCTTGCATTAGCTTCACTCTCTCTTGCCTATGATTATTATTATGGAACCATCTAAGTCATCTCTGTCATCTTGTTTATTCTCTGTGAACACTGACACAACATTAGCACTCTTCCAATATCTTGAGATTCCTCTCATATTCCAGGGTTTTAAAATACCTGATTCTAATGGACCTGACACCTCCTCAGCCAAATCTTCTATGATGCTCTAATTATCTTGGTCTACTGATCTGAAAATACTTACACTTAATAAATACTGTTAGAAACCCTCCTTAGTTTATAAATAGACTAGAAAGTTGCTCAGCACCCTCAGGTAATCTGAATACATAATTCTGCTTCCTTCTGTATACAAACAAATATCTTCTCTGTGTCAAAAAATCTCCATCAGAAATCTTCTCTATTTACCTACATCCATCTGGTAAAGGTCTAGGCCATTGCTAGAATTGCTTGGATCCCAACATATTCTGAAAAACTCTTTCCAAGTGCCTTTAGTGCAATCCAGTTTTTCCAGATATTTTGAATACTCCTTATCAGCTTGTATGCTTCATTACTTGTCATTTATATTGTGTGCCATATAGCTCCTTTCCATCTATGCCTTCCTTCTACTTTTTTTCTTTTCTGTTGGTTATATACAGGATTTCTAAGTGCTACCTTCAAGTTCCCTGCTAGCCAGAAGACGGTTATAGTTCTGCCTATGTAAGAACTGTAGAACCACAGATCTTGTAAACTTCTACTAGTGAAATTTCTGTTACAAAATTTTGTTGTAACTTTCTGTTACAGTTTTCATCATATTTTTGATTGCTCTACCTGCAATTAGTTTAACCTGTAATTTCCTCACTTTGAGGATTTACCATTTTGAAGAACCCATTCTGCATACATATTTCCCCATCCCTACAGGCAGTTAAGATGCATACATACATACAATAATATCTGGAGATATTCAAAAGCTGCCTGGACGCGATCCTGGGAAATATGCTCTAGAGGACCCTGCTTGAGCAGGGGGGGTTGGACTAGATGATCTCCAGAGGTCCCTTCCAACCTCAACCATTCTGTGATTCTATGATCTTAAAAACCTGCCTTCTAGGCATTAATCAAACCTATATACAGCTGCAGACATAAACCTATATACAACATGCGCATATATATATATTTTGAATGACTATTTACAAAATGTGCATGTGCTCATATATAGTCATACAAACGCTCAACTCTACGCAATTTACTTTTCCCTGAACCTGGAGTAGAGGCATTTCTAAAAATGTATGCACGTTGCATCTAATGTGGCATCCAAGTAACGAGCTGAGGCTATCAGTGTTGCCCTTCCATGATGAAGGCGTTTTTCCGTGACTCTGCGTCTCCCAGGTCGCTCAGCTCCTCCATGAAGGGGAGCCCTGCCCATACCGACCAATAGCTCTGTTAATATTTGGGCAGAGCTGCCTCTCCTGAACAGGATATGCCAGGGGAAGGAAGACAAATGAGTGTAGGCAAGGGCTTCTTTTACTCTGAAGCCCTTAGAAGTTGCTCAGATTCTGGTTTAACTGAAAAGAAAAAAAAAAAAAAAGAACAAAATTTAGGAAGTGGTACAAAACATCATCCTGCAGTTCACCAGAAATGAATGGGGAAAAACATTCCAGCCCTGCAAAGAGGCACTCTAAGGAGATAAGGACTGCTAGCTACAGAACGATATCCTGCTTATTGCCTTTCCAGCTGCTTCTTGCACAAAGGGAATAAAATCAGAGGACAAACTAGCACTCTGAGATGCCCCAGTCCTTAGCTGAGCCCATTTACTGCCGTGTAGCTGTGAGGAGGCAGAGAGGAAGGGGCTCACCCTCCACACCCTTTTCTCCTTCTCCTCCCCATCCCTTGCTCCCATCCCAGCCCTGGCTGTTCCCTGAGCCTGTTTAACCCACTGAAACACCCAAGAACTAACCAGCTTTTTGATGGCTTTAATTTCTGCCATTTTGGTGAGTTGAAGTGGCTCATGGCATCTGCTAAGTGCTCAAGTCAGCAGAGGTAAGCAGGGGCACTGCACTGATGGGGGTGAGGAGAGGGAAGGAAGAAGGGAGCTAGACGCCCTGCTGTCAACGGTGCTGAGCTGCTAATTCAGCTCGCCGCATCTTGTGAGGATCTAGAGTCACTTGTGAGAGGGTTTCCAGCTCATGCACTTCCCACGTCTCCCTCCAGGGCATCCTGAGATATTCTGACCTCAGTCTCTCCTGAACAGGGCACAGGGGAGGAAGATGCCCCTTGTTCTGTCTCATACTAGGAAAGTGGCTTTTTGTTATAGGCTCCTACCTGTCCTTTTCCTCCAGAGCACAATGAAGAGGGCAATGATGAAAATGACAGTAGCAGTGAAGCCCCCCACAAGTCCTTCCGATCCTGTTTTTTCTGTTGAGGAAGAGGAGGATTGGTGATGCTATGTTCACCTGAGCAGCTGGACAGCAAGCGAATTGTCATAGTTAAACAAGCTCTCCCAGCAGCTGACCATGCACGTGCTCTTGTCAGGTATACAAATGGGACACGAAACATGAGCTAAGGCCATCCAGACACAGGGCCAGTTAAACTGGCTAGACTGATGTGTTGTAACCCGTTAAACTGCAGTTAACTTGACTGCTTGTTCCTGCGGGGTCAGGAGACATAAAAGCAATCTCCCGTTAGGAAAGAGAGTGAGGACCCCAACAGCATATCAGGCCCCATGGGGAAAAGCACTTTCTTTATGTTGCTGGGACTATAGTTCCCAAGCAGACTCAACCTCCACTTGAGTATCAAGTTCAGCTGGGTGCCTGAGTCCTTGAGGAGGTCCAGAGGTTGTGATCCTCGCCATGGGTAGGTGAGGTGGCAGGAGGGGAGGGCTTACCTGGTGCTTTTAGATAGGCACTAGCAGAGATAGGCTCCTCTAAGGCCACGTGTGAAACATGGCAGGTGTACGTGGCTGGTGCCCGCACTGTGGTTGAGCTGATGCTGAGGTAGGAGGTGATACTGTAGGTGCCATCTTGGCTTTGCTGGTGGCTGGAGAAACGCATGCTTGAGAGAGCAATTTCTGCTTCATCCTCAGCAGTCTTCTGTGTCCAGCTCACAGACACATCCAGGGGGTAATAGCCAGCAATGTCGCAGGTCAGAGTAGTAGCGACATCGCTCTCGAACGACACTTGTGCTGGAATCACACGAACTCTTGGGGGCTCTGGTGAGAGATAAAGAGGAAATTAACTTAGTCTGAAACTATCAGCAGGGTACAAAAGTTTCTGTCCACAAGGGAAGGAAAATGTGCTGCTTGTGCCAAGGAATGTTGGGGACAGTGGGATAAGGGTGCAGTGCAATTTCAGCCCCTGGGGAGCTGGACTCCTGCTGCCCCCAGGTTGCCTTCCTCACCAGCCACCTGCAGCTGGATGATGTGCTGGATCTGGTGCTGTGGGGTGGACACCAAACAGATGTACGTGCCCTCATCTCCCACGCTCACTCCTTGCAGACTAAGTGATGCATCTCCATTCCCCAGCAACTGTGGCATATCCACATGGACTTTTGGCTCCACTGTTGGGCCCGTGCTCCCTGCCTGGTACCGAAACAGGCTTCTTCCGCTGCCTCGGTGCTGCCTCCTCCACTCCAGGGAGGACAGCAGGGAGCTGGGAGCTAAGGCAAAGTGGCAGTCAAGGGTGACTGAGCCGCCGAGGTGGGTGCGCAGGGAAGTGTTGCATGACGACGATTGAAATTCGACTAGAAACAGAAAGAAAGATATAGGCAAGCAGGGTGTTAAACAGATATGATTTTAAAGAGAGCACCCTCCAGCAGGAACTGCTCGCAGTGAGCTCCCTACCCAGAGGAGGCATGCTGCATATGGTGCCCCAAGGCCACATGGTCTGAAGAGTGGGAAGAAACTATCCTGGTGGGGTTAGCAGGGTGGAGAAACAGGTGGACACCAAGTACCCAGCATGGTCCTGAGAGACAAAGTGCTTGCCACCCTCAGGGGATGGCCAGAGCATAGGAGCCCCTGAGAGGAGGGACAAGGAGGGCAAGATTGTCCCTGAGGAAGGGCCTTTACAGAGGAACCTGCACAATGGAGCCCTTCCTTTCCCACATGACTCCTCCCAGCAGCCCTCAGGTCCTGGTGAAAGGGTAGGGAACAAGGCTCTCGGGAGGCAGGCTCCCTTCCCCTTGTGTCCCTCAGGGGAGTGTGGTCACCTGTGGTCAGCACTGTCCCCTTCTTGCTCACAGGAATCCTCAGCTTCGGGTGCAGTATTGCATCTGGCTCCTCCTCCTGCCCACCGCTGCAGTGGGAGCCTCTGAGCACCAGGGCAATACTGATCCCACTGGACAGCCGCAGAGTCCCCATGAACCAGGAGCCAGGGCAGAGCCCCTTGCCATCCCGCTGGAAGTTGTATGGGGAAATCTCGCAGTTTACCTCCTCCCCATTACAGTCGGCGTGCAGTAGGGACTCTGCATGTGGGATGGATACCAACGGGGCTGTGAAGATAGAGGGAGAGATTTAACCATATGATTCCAAATGGGGAAAGCGAATGCAAGTTGATGAGACGTACTTTGGAGAGGAACTGTGTGCTGCAAGGGTCAGTCAGAGCCCTGCAATGTACTGCTAGGCTTATCAACTGAAGGCTTGGAAAGAATACGAGAGGTTTGTCATGATTGACTTATGTCCCTCTGTCTGCTCATTGTATTTTATCCTACCAGATTGCAGGGAGTTCACTCTGGGCAAAGCAAGCTGCTAGAAAAAGAGAATAAACAGAGCAGATTCCTTTTAGCCAGCTCAACAGAGTAAGCTGTGCATATGAAATACCCACCAAAGACTAGCAATGTTTATTCTTGTTAGGTGGGAGTTCAGAAGCAAAGGAGACACTGAAACATCCCAGTTAAGGCAAGAAAGGGTGGCAAGAAGCCAGACTGCATAGACTATATCTATGCTGTTGGTCAACACATAAATGTAGGCATAAGCATCCTGGTGACCTACATCTTTTCCATCCATATTGCTGGAAACTAACTCAGTGTGGAAAGGATAAGCTGTATTTGTGATGCCTGACAACGGTCTCGCTGCAGTGTGCTTGAACTCATCCATGCCCAGCCCATCCACGCTGCATGAAGAAGAGCTCAGACTCATGTAAACGCACTCTGCTGGGCCTTCAGCTCCCTCACTGAAGATGTCTCAGAGCTCCAGCCAAGCTTATGTATTAGCACAAGGTTGCGCATAAACAATGTAGACAATGGACAAGACCACGGTGAAGTACAGACTCAGACTTTTGCTTGACTGATGGTGTTTGCAAAATTATGCAACAAGCAAGGGCTGCAGAGGGTGGGCTGCAGGGTGGCACCCATGAAGAGGTAATGAGAAGACAAGTCACACTTCTGATCAGGATGGCTCTGTTTCATGCCTGCTTACCACTATGCTTCTGCTAGTAAAAAATGTCCTCTCTTTCTTTGGATAAAGGATGGGAATGCCCTTTAAGGGTGCAATAATACTATATAGTGGCAAAATTCTTGAGACGCCTCCGATGAAGTATTTCCCAAGAGATAAGCAATCTAGGATAGCCCCAGCAGGTGGGAGGTGCCTCAGCACAGTTTTCTAATGTCTTCCAAGAATTCCTTCCTTAAAGTCCCAATTGCTGAATTCAAGAAATTGCATGTAAACTTTAGCTGCCATTCAAAAATTAATTTTCTGAACTCAGTTAAAGAAAAAGCTTGAAGGTAAAACCCCAGTGCCTGTAAACGGTCAAAACCCAGGAGTCACCTCTCTTACCTCAGCTCTCCAACTCACCTGAGGTTTCAAAAACAATGCGAGGAGAGGAGTCAGCATTTTCCTGCGGCACTTTGTAATCAGTTGCCTCACCCAAGCTCCCGTCATCTCTGACACTGACGTCCCTCAGCACAAGGGTAGCAGGGTCCTTGGAGAACGAGCCCCCAAAGGCACCTGGCAAGCCTCCTGGATCTTCCTCCACATAGGAGCAGTCCAGGACTATATCCACCGTTTGAAATGGAGGTGCTGCAGTGGGATCTTTTGTTGACCCTTTAGGGAGGGGAATGAACCAGTTTCAAGACCTGCACTTGCACACATGCACGAATCCCGCGGCATCCTTATAACAAAGACGAAGATATGAATATTACCCTTTCTCTAGGATGGAGAGCAGGGAAAAACAAACACGAGGCCTGGGGCTGGTTGCCCCTTTAGGGTTCTTCTTTTGACCTTGGCCGAAGCAGCCCCTCCATTTCTCTAGCATCGTACCTCTGACAACAGTATTAATCTTGGGAAATAGCTGTTCAGGAGTTTTTACTTGGAGACTTCAATTTAAAGGGTGGCGTTAGGGGGAGTGTAAAGCATGGGATCGGCCCTCTACCACTGCTCTCGGAACCCCGCTCTGGCTGCCCAGAAGGCTCCCCCTGCCGCACTCCTGTAACTCACCGGCATCCAGACCTAGCAGGCCACAGAAGACGAGGAGCCCTTGAATCATGCTGTCCCCGAGAGGGCCTACAAACCCAGAGAAGACCTTACAGGAATCAAACCTTGCCTCAGACTGCAGGCAGGCTTGTGCTTTTGATTTCACTTTCACTCTGACAACACAGCAGCAGCAGGAAAAAAAAAAAAAATTAACTCTTTCTGTACCAAACATCTGAGTCTGAGGGCTTCAGGGTGAAGTCTTGAGACAGCAGAAAAGCAGAGCACTATTGACTGGGATCGAGGAGCATCCCCAGACCTGCAGATGGGTTTTTTTTCACTGCCTGAGCCCCTCTTTAAGAGTCTATGTTGCGCCAGCCTCTTCCCGGTGCTGTCCTACCCGCTGCCTCTTCCCTTGGGCGCTCACTGAGCCCCTTGCGATGGCAGTCGCATCTCTGTGCGCTTGCCTTTTAGAAGACTTACGCTTCCCGAGACGCTTTGGGGTTGACGTTCCTTTTTTGGGTTTTTTTTGTTGGTCCTTCTCTAACTGAAACGAAAAGCTTGAAAGGCAGTTTGCGCCGAGGCGCTATGACACAGCCCTGAGAGCCTGGCAGGCTGCCGCCGCAGTGCCAGAAACCAGGCAAGCCTGCGCTTAGCGGGGAAGAAATATCACGGACAAAAGTCAAGCCGCTGCACAGACATGAGAGAGGGAACAGATGGGCGCTGCCGGTATTTTAAATACTGCCTTTTCCTGCCTCTTTTGAGATACACTGAGAGAAAATGACTGCTTCTCTTCCTCTGCTGGTCGGCTCCTCTCTTCACAGACTTACTGGCTCTGGCAGTGACACAGTTTACCCTTGCCGTGGGCTGCTCTAATCACGTACATCTCCAAGCAGCTCTTGATGCAGGTACTCCTGGCATCCCTATCCCATCCTCACTCACCGCTTTAGTCCTACTTGGAAAAGACTCATGAGGAACATTAATTCTTCCTGCTCCTCACGGCTTCACTGAAATTGCATTTAGGATCCCTGAATTTGTCACAGTCATCATCCAGCCGCTCTGACAGGCTCACCCATCTTCTCACCAGGGTAATAGCATGCACCCTGTGGGTCCCTGTCATCCCCTTGCCCCCTGAGGGGTTCAGCCTTCAACGCTCACCTCCTCTCCCTTGGCCCTTCGTGTCTCAGCATTTCTGGGCTCTCAGAGGCCGCACACTTCCCCTGCCCTGGCTTGCTGTAGCCAAATACAGACAACAGGGAGGAGAGTGCATGGCAAAGCCCAGACAAAGTACACTTGTCCTTTTTCCCATGTTGTGAGCCAAGTTATTGTGGCGGTCTGCTGGAAATGACACCCGTCCTGCCTCTTCAGCATCGTATCTGTGCTTTAGGAATCAAAACAGCTTCTTCTGTTTTATGATCCGTGGTTTTTTTTGCGCTCTCCCCTTCCAGCTCTGGGAGCAGGCTGCCTCCTCGGGTACAGCTAAGACAGGCTGAGGAAGGAGCCCATCATGTTGCCCAGTGGCCGTTGCCCAGTGAGCTGGGGCTGCTCTGGCGGATTCCCGGCGGCTGGCGAGGCACAGCTCCTGCACTCGGGGCAAAGGCAACAGCTCTCCTTGCCAAGGCAAGGCTCCTTTCCCTCTTTTGTTTCTCTAGCTGCTCCCATGGGACCCAAACTACACTTTGAGCCTACGGGAGCGGATTTGGCCATCAGCTTTTTATGCGCAGAAGCTGGGGGAAGTCTGCAGCCAGTGCTGTGGCTGTGACATGAATCGTGGCTTGCTACTTTGAGAGACGCTCAAACACAGTAGTATTTATAGAATTTGTCTTTCAGAGCAGTAAACTGCCCTTGACTATTCTCTGTAATCAAATCCTTCCAGAGGTGTGGAAAAGCTGAGACTCCCTTCTGTTCTCCGGAGCTGCAGTCCATTGCATGCTGGATCTGCCTGGCTAAAGGAAACAGCCCTGGTAAAAAGTTTTGCAGCATGCTGAGCTAGCTTGTAAATACAATTTTACTGTGTCAGCATCGTGTTCAAGAGATCTATTCAGTGCTGCTGCTGCAACTGCTGGAAGGGAGTTGTGTGATAGGTGTATCTGGCTTTGTATGCAGGGAAAGGAAAGCCAGTTAAATAAGTACTTGGCAGCAGATAAAGAGGGCAGAAGCCTAGACCACAAGGAGAGAGAAGATCCTGATGGAGAAGCATCCGGCAGCCAATACTGACAGCTAAAGGGCTATCTAGTTCAGCTAAGGGAAATGGATGAGGTCAGGGAGTACTAACAGAGATGTCTGTACACTACAGAGTGTCTCAGGTGATAGTGTGGAATCAGAAAAGTGGTGGTGGGAAGAGACCTCTGGAGGTCTCCAGTCCAACCTCCTGCTAGATCAGGTCACCATCACTGTGTCCAGCCAAGTCTGGAAACTCTCCAGGGAGGGAGACTCTACCACCTTTCTGGGTATACCTGTTCCAGTGCTGTGCTGCCCTGCTGATAAAAAAAGTTTTTCCTAAAGCCCAACCTGACCCTTCCAAGCTGCAACTTGTTGCCATTGTCCCTTTTTCTTATTGTCTGGCACTACTGAGAAGAGTTTGGCTCCACTATCTTTGTTGTATCTACCACCCTTCAGATAGTTGTAGGAAAGAACTAGGAACAGCTACTCTGGGGTGTAAACTAGCTATCATGCAAGTGGCAGAAATATGGTGGAAAAACAGTCATGCCTGGTACTAAAATATTCTTCTGTTCAGGACTGGCAGAAATAAAGCTAAAGATAGTGAGTTGGCATCAGACTAATGATTTAACAGGTTGTTTACATAAAACTCAAGAAGAAAGCTAGAAGAGACTTTTCTCTGGCAGAGGTCAGAGCTGTGAACGACTCAGGTTTATCATTGTATGCATAGAGAAAGCTCTAATATTAAAAGGGATAAATCCCACCAGGAGCTGCGCAGCCATGGGAAACTAACTTCACATTTATGAACTGAAGACTAAACTCTGATAATCGTAATTGGGCCTAGGCCAATATTTTTCAGTATAACAGATGACAGATTCCTTGACAAAACAGTCATTGAACCAACAAAAGATTACTTAGTTGTAAATAGCAATTAAGTCATAGAGCAGCTGGTCGTCAAAAATTAATTTGGAGTGTGTGATCACACTTTGCTTACATATAAATTAAGCAGGAACCTAAACAAAAGTAGGACGGTACATGAAGGGTCTTTTTTAAAGGAAAAAAAATCAAGGATTTAAGAGACCTCATTAGCTTAGACCGTATAGGTTGAGGACCTGAATGTGAAAGAAGCCCAGAGTTTCTGTGAGAGAGCCACAGCAGTTTTGGAATTTGGATCCCAAGTAAAGAAGCAAAAATCCTTCTGTAACTACCTGGATGGACAGCCAGACCCACAAGGTTATTAAAAATAAGTGAAGAATAAGAAGGGAGATAGATTGGCAAAGAAAAATCTTTTCTTTACGTGATTGTGGATACAATGTGACGTGTCAATCTGGAAAAGAAACTTTCAAAATAAGAGAAATTTTTTCAGCGGTATAAGTAAATAACTGAACCAGGAAGGAGAAGGTGACTGTGCAGAGAGAAAAAATAATTGTAACTGATACATAGTCTTATCCTACAACCAGGAAAATCAAACTGAAGAGTGGAGCAGAGGGAAGGAGAGTAATGAATAAGAGGGTACAGGAATTACCTGATTTGAAAGCAGAGCAAATGTTATTGTGATGAAACTAAGAAAATGAGCTAAGACAAGTATTTTATTGGATTGTTTTAACCATAATAATTTTTATTCTTAAGAAAGCAACAAGAAGTTACAGACCTTTACAAAATAACATTGTTCAGATAAACTTATCTTATCTGTGCTCACTCAGTTTTGGGAGCTGGAGGCCTGGCAAATAATTTCTTCCTCCAATCTGTACTTCGGTATTTGTCACTATGTGACCTATCCTTTTGCCCCTTAAGGAATATAATTTCTCCCATGTTACTGTATAGCACTGAATGGGAATTTCCAGCCGCTTCCTCAAAGAGAAACATTTTCCAGAACATCAGTTGTTGGCAGTGAATGATGAGTATGCAGGAACATCAAAACTGGTGACTTCTCATGGTTTTACAATGGCCTCTTAGTTCCAGTCTTTCAACAAAATGCTAACTGAATAGTCTACCCCAGAGCAGAGGTCACACTACAGAATGAGAGTCATGGTAAAGCTTAAAATTCAGAACAGAGTCTGCAATTCACTGAGTTCACAAGGCTCATGCAAATATCTTACTTTGTCAATAGAAGCCAAAATCAATAAAAACAAACTCTCCATTCCCCTTCTTATGCTCTCCATATGTCTCTGCTCTACTAAATGTCACTCCCATCCTTCTAGTTTCTGCTGAATTGAATTATTTCCTCTGAACACATTTCCAGTTCCATCACCTCTTCCACATCCCTCTTCCTTTCATGCCTGCGCACTTTTACCTTTTTCCACTTGCCTCTCCCCATATCACCTTTACTCTGTCAGGTCTCCTCTATCCAAACCACTTACCTTTCCTGTTTCCAGTCTTTCTACTTTCTTGTCCTCTGCTTTTTTTTGCCCTGATCTGACCTTTCTGATTTCCATGAGGCCATCGATCCGGTTCCCATTCTTCCAACAAGAAGAAACACTGCAAAATTTGTCGGTCTCCAGAGCATGCAGAATATTGTTCTTGCCCTTCACAAAACATGTGGGCAGCACTAATAGGATCCAAGCCATGAAGGTCTGAAGTGTGAGGTGTGGACAGAGAACAACCTCTGTGCTCTGCTGCACTGGATCCACTTTCCCAATTCAGGTCCCTCCACAGGAAAGCAGCTGTTTTAAAAAGTAACAAATGCCATGTTTCTCCTGATTGAATCCCTCAAGCTGACATTCAGGAAGTGTTTTGAGTCCTAAATCCTATTTAGATGTCTAACATTCTAATGGGAAAGTTTCTCTATTTATTTTTCATTTTCCATTGGTCAAGTTACAAGCCTAAACTAGGAGCTTAAAGACTTGCTAAATCCACTAAGGGTGTGTTGTTTTCACGAAGCTAAGTAAAGCAGGCAAATTCAACTTCCTTGCAGCTCAGCTAAGCTCCTTGCTAATGAGTAGGACCATCCACATTGGGCTAGCCTGGCATACATGCTCTGATTAGTTAAACTGCATCTGATACCAGCCCACAACTCTCCTCTGCTGTTAAATGGGAGATAAAGTAAGACGTTGCTATCAGCTGGCATCTGTGAGGTAGGTTCTCACCGTTCTGAGTGGGACCGTCACTTTATTGTACCATCTTCCCTCTTCCAGGGTGGGATTAACCAGACTAAAGGTCACTGTGGATTTTCAGCTTCTACTGTATATGCTGAAGCATAGGCCATAAATAAATCTTGTTGACTTAACCAAATTTACAGTTTACAAAAGTATGCATATCTATTTACCCAAATGAATTTGTTTCTTTCTCTCTCAGTGAATTAGGAGCCTGTGTATCTCCAGTATACCCAAGGGAAAAGGATTGATGTCTAGTGACCTAGATGTTGCATCCTAACCCAGGCTGGTCCCTAGACACAGTCGTTGTGACACTCCTCTCTCTAACCCACACCTTTAACGACCACAGTTGCCAAAGCTGCAGCCCCTCTGCAGTCTGATTTTGGCACCTCCTTTCCAGGGAAGAAGCAAGATCACTGATGATAAGGCTGCAACATAAGTCAGAAGATCTCTGGAAAAAGGAAGATACAAGAAGAAAATCCCCTGAAGCTGACAGAAGTAGGCCTGAACCAGGATAGCAGCAATGCCAGTGACACTTGATACTAGAGAGCCCGAGTCACCACTAACATAAACCAATTTCAGTGGAGCTACACCAGTTTACAGCAGCTAGGTAGTTGATTGAGTAAGAGACAGTTCGCAGACTGAATTTACTTTCTAATGGTCACTTATACCCACCTTGAACACTCTGAGATTCTATGTATAAGGCTCTTCCTTTTTTCTCCTAAAATTGTCCATAACTTTGAGTGCCTTCATTTTTAAGTACCAAGCTTACACACTGGCACCTGGTTTTTGGACATGTGTTTGCAGCTGTTCAGCATCTTTCGCGAAAGAGGCCCTCATGTAAAGGCCAGTCTAGAAAGTTTGTGTGTTCTCACATGCATCAACTTTCCTATGTAAAACACAAAGCGATAATATTGGACAACCTACTTCATAGTGGATTTTCTGAGGACAGATGAGTTTTTTGTAGGCATCTTTAAAGGACAGTAAGTTTGTTTTTGCACAGTGATTAAACCCCAGGAGTAAAAAACAGAACACCCAGCTTTAACTGTAGCCCGACCCAGCTCAGATTCCCCGTGTCATTTTGCCTCAATTCTCTGTACATAAAATTGGGATGCTACTTGTCTTGTTTTCCCCAGGATCCACAGGCAGACAGATTTATTCTCGTGCGTACAGCATTATGAGACTTCCCAGGAAGGCTCTCTAGGGAAAGGCAACAGAAAACTGAAAAAAAACCTGTAACTGCTGTTAGTCCTGATGATAACCCTGGGACTAATCTGTGCCCCCACAAATCAATAGATGTATCTGGAGAAGAAAAATATCCTCATACGATAGAATATCACAGGGACCGTTTAAGCTGCAAGTACAGATGAGGACAAACTGTACTCAGTGTTGTTTCTGGCACCACGCAATCGATCCCTTCGGTTACCATGGGCTTGGTTCAAGTTCATCAGCAACCACAAGTGGCAGTCGTTATCAGTAAGAGCTTGTGTAGTCTGCTCATGCTAGATCTGCACCAAAATGGGGAGCTGCAAGTGCAGCATGTCTCAATACACCTGAGTCAGGTTTAATCCAGCTGGCCCAGCTAGCGAGAGCAATGGCACCAGCACCTACTCCGCATGTGAGCGCCTGGCCCAGGCCACCACAGATCCACGAGTGCTGGTACCCCCTGCCTGTGAGGTGAAAGTCAGATCACATGTGCTGAGCTCGCGCATATGAGCTTAAAAAAGAAAGTGATTGTATGCAAAGTCTGCAAGCTGTTGAATCACTCTAAAGCCATTTCAGAACTGTGGCATTTCTAACTAGCATGTCTGAAATCAGTCTAAATATTGGAATGAGACAGCCACTGTTCATAGCATGCCCGCTTTCTCTCAATTTAACTTATCTCAACTGAATTTACTTATTAAAAAATCAGCCAAGTCCTAACCACTTTTCTGCTCTGTTAAAATAGAAAAAAATCTTTATACTCCATCTGATATCTCCCATGTTTCCTGATTTTCTTCCATTTTTTCCCCTTTCAATTGTAGTAAACATTATCCATACCATTTCTAAATGGGTGGCTGAATGTTTTATGGAAAAAAAAATCTCACTGTGACAAATTGTTTATTGCAAAACTGATTAGGTAAGACATTCTGAAAGTATCTTCAAATAATTTTTGATGGCTTTGGTGGATATTTGAATGAAACATTTAGAGATAGTTATTGATTGAAAAATATAAAAGATCAACAGATTTAAACTATTTGCAACATGATTCTTTCTAAGAATGAGCGAGTTAGTTTGCTTTGGTTGGGTTTCAGTGTTCCCATGAGCTCAACTTCAGGCATGCACCCAAATGCTCTCCCAAATAGGCGTGTTTGCCTGAATTAGGGCCCCAAATGGTGGTTTGTGGTTGTGCGGTGCGTTCCTGAGTCCTCACTGGAGTTCTAATTTATTCACTTTATTTTAGGGGCTCCTTTCCCTTTGCCCACATCTCAGAATACCTCAACTAGGTTGGCAGACCTCTGTCTGTGTGCTCAGAACTTCTCCAGCCCACAGAAAGGTGGTCCAGATCTAGTCAAGCTGTACCTACATTAATGTACCTACATTGACTGCTCTTGCTTCTCTCAGAGACACTCTCAGTGTAGGAGCAGCGGCCTATCTTCAAGGCTGCCAAGATGCCACTTTCAAACAATATCATTATTACTTTCTCCAGGTTTCTCAATTAAGCAAGGAACAGGAGAATAAACAGAAAGCACATGATATCAGTGAGTAGTGTGCCAGAACTCTATGGATGACGTCTTAACAATTAAATAATGCAGGAAAGAGATGCAGGATGTTCCAGACATAGCTGGAGGGAAGCCAATGTTGTATTTCCAAAGGAGAGTTAGAAACAACAGTCTTTGCAACTGAATTCCTAAATCTTCTTTCAAATGACCTTGAAAGGACCACGAGGAAAGGGTCGTGGGTCGTTAAGTCGTTCAGAATCTGCGCTTGAAAGTAGAGACCAAGGTCTTTTGAACGTGCTCTCGAGGTTCGCACATGCTCGTCAGCAACACGGGGTCCTTCTTGTGCTCCACGTCATAGAAAGGACAATTCTTCAGGTGTTCAGACATGCTCACAGCATCATTGAACTGCCATTTGTTAACTCTGGAGAACAGGCTGCTGAACTGCCAGATCTAACGTGTGAGGAAGGGAGGGAGGGAAGAGAAATTGGGGAGAGAAGACTGGAATGTTAACAAAATATAACAGGATTGTAAAAACCTTCATCAGCTTATAGTGAATGTATGCTACTTGTACTGCACAGATGAATGAAATTCTGATTATGCAGGGCTGGTATAACAAATAAAAATGTGGTCTGTATTGTTATGTACCTCATACTTGCTAGTTTTGCTGCTTTTGTCATCAACTGCTATTTTTAATGGAAAAGTACCCTTCTACAGTTTTTGGTGCTAATCCAGTGCTGCACCTTAGGAAATCCAGGACACTTGACCACTGCACATCTACAGAAAACTGCATCACACATGTGTGGTGTGCAAAAATGGAGATTAGATGCATCCAAGGTGGTTATAAAGTAGAGTGACTAGAGCGTGCTTGTATAATATTTATCTCAAAAAAAAAAACCTACATAAAGATCTCGTTATAGTTGAAAGCATGTATCAGTAACTGGAAGTAACGACCTTCTAACAAGCCTAGAAAATTCGAGGTTAAGGTTGTACCTAAAAGAAATCCAATCGTGTGAAAAATAGGAATGGTGCAGTTAAAATGTTCAGTTTTTGTTTGCAATGATAGCATGTGTTTGTGATAAGACCATGGTTAAGTCACTTCAATATTTGCTGTATCCTATTAAATCAATTTTAAAAATCATATTTGATTTCTTTTCCCTTAAAATGTACTTTCATGTAGAAGAAGGTCAGTAAGTGGGTGTGTTACACTTCAGAATTGCTTGCACCTGTCCTAGTCCTATGTAATCGTAGTTATTATACACAACAGCCAAGTTCAGTTTCATTACAAACAGCGTTTTCATGCAGAGTCTGTGCTTCGGAAACAGATTCATGCGTGGTCAAAACAGACAGCTAACATGAAAGGGCTGGATAATCTTTAAAGTGAAAGCTGCTGGTTTGAAATTATGCTATGATAACTGGAGGTAATTGCTATTTGATTGCTCAACTGGAATTTCTTCCTTCTACTGAAGGAAGCCACATCCTGGAGGAGATGATTTCAATGGTTAATTTCTGTTTTGGATTTGACTAATTCAACCTGCAGCCATTGAATCTTGTTACACTAGATTTAGAACTCACCACACTTTGTACTTTCTCTTAATAGTGAGTACTTTTTATGAAATGATAAGTTACCATTTGATCATATCAATAGATGGAGATCTTTGGCGGTCTCTTTGAAAGCCAGGCCATTAGATCATTTTTGTGAGTCTTCTTTGGATCTCTCTAAATTATTTGTCCCTAGATCTGTTTCTTGTGGGCTCGGTCATATGCAGGAGTCTCTAATGTGCCCTCTCCAGTTTTATGTAAGAGCAGCTGCAAGGCTATCAGCTAAAAAACCTGCAGTAACTATTGTATCAGCTAGGACTTAAACTGAGCTGTGTTTACATATTTCATTCAGATTAACCAATTGGCCAATAGGGAAAATAATTTTCCATCACAAACAGCAGGGAGCCAGTTTCAAACCATCAGTTTAGCAGGATAGGGCTTCCTATCTTCATGCTTCTCCCTCAGGTGCTCTCATCCCAACAAACCAGACTTTGGCGACAACCTTGTGAACTACTAATCATGAAAACCCTAGGAGGCTGATGTGAATCCCGAGCTCCTTTCACAGTCACATCTCCTGGTTCTTTACACCTTTTAGTGTTCTGAAGCATGTTTTAGTTCAAAGATACCCTAGACCAGCTTGTGAAGAGGAAAAAAAAAAAAAAGGACAAATTCTTCAAGAACCTTTGTGAGACCTTTAAGTATCAGGAATTCTCAATTCATATGGCTATGCAAACAAGTTACCCAAAGCAAGCCTGGGTGGGCACTTGCAGCTGGTCAGTAGGTGCCCTACCTTTGGAATAGGTGTTTCCTACCTTTCCTAGATTGACTATACTTTATATCCCTTCACCCTCCCCAAACATACTATGCTGTGATTTACAACCTCGTGATCCTTCCCCATGCCTGTGTGCTTATATGCAGCATCACTTGCTATGCTTGTGTTTTTTCTGGAGAGAACCCATGGCTATTCATTTCCCAGTGTCAGTCACTTGCCTTTCTGCGAGCTTTCCATGAAGTACCTCCGTGGGAATACCTTTTTTTCTCCCAGAGCAGTAGGACCATTCCCCTCTCTTGAAGAAGCGTGGCACAGATGTCCCGCATCAGCACTGACACTTGCGATAGCTGAGATAAGCTGAAGCTGTCCAGGAACCCAGCAATGTACTTGAGCACTTCTACTGGCAGGCTACTTAGTGAGTCTTTATTTCTCCCTTGATTAGCCTCTGTGGAGTCGCACTTCCCTGATTCAGCAAGGAGGGTGTCAACCTCTGGTTTAATAGCAAATGTCTTGAGAGGCTGGCTGTATATAACCTTGGCCTTATGTCCAGAGGGGCGGAAGTGGTTTTGAACATAAGTGCATCCCAAGTAGGCCAGTGGACAGCGATGCTGGAACCATCCATCCAGACATGACTGGATATCAGCATGCACATTCTTGAAATGTGAAGGGAACTCATCCCTCCTGAAGAAGTGACTGCATGTGAATGTGAAAGCCGAACTGCTTTTGTTGTGTCTCCTTGTTACGCATTCTGTGTAGAGCTCCACGTGGAGTTCGGGTGGGCTTTTTTCATCCACAATATCTGCTAGAACAGCATTGGGGGAGAAGGACTCCACCTGAAAGTTGTATGTCTGTGTTGCAAAATCCACAAAAAGTCCATCAATACCCCTTGCTTCAGAGATCTCATGGCCTTTCAGTTCTTTTTCCAGTGCACATAACAGTGTGGTTTTAATCATATTTGCTTTAGGTAGTTCTTCTAGGCTTAATCCCAATTCTGAGGTGTCCACCAACTTGTCTGAGGTTGGCATCTTGTGTCCCAGGGCGTCTCCTAGTCGTGCTCTTTTGCCACAATAACTAACTGGCACTTTGAAGGTGTAGACAGTCTTTACCTCCTGAGCTTCCAGGTTCCCATACACAAAGTCTTTTTCTTTGGGAGTGCAAGCAGCTAGCTGGCCAAAGCGAATGAGCATTCCCCCATGATGTACCAGATACATATTGTAATCAGCTACACCAACTTCTTTCTTCAACCTCTCCAGGACTCCTTCTTGCCAGGGAGCCAGTCCTGTCATTTCTGTTTTCGGTGATACCTGCTCAGTATCTTGGTCTTTTGCTTCTTCTGCATCAGGTACTTCCTTTGCCTTCTCTGTGGAGGTATTGGTGCAAAGGGCTGATGGTATTTTCTTGGAAGCCTCCCCTATCTTTTTTCCTGCACTGTCAGCTGAGCCTGTTACCTTGCAAGCCAAGAGCTCTTTGCTGAAAATGTTCTCCCAGGTTTTGTAACCCCCCAGATCCATTCCTTCTTTGTCCTTGGCCAGTTCTTCACGCTCACGTTGGCTGAGCTCAGATGACTGGACATCCCCGTCTTGGGAACCACAGGTTAATCCTCCCACAGCACCTTCCTCCCCTGTGGCTTCATCCATCAGCTCTTCCAATTCAACCTTTTCTCTCCATTCCGGAAACAATTCAGCCATTTTCAAAGTCCTGAAAAGTATCTTCTGGTCTCTGAGGGCCAAGGCCGTGTCAAGACAGTCTTCATTCAAGGTTTCCTTCATAATGTTCTCATGGAGGGTAGTGTCTGAATCCACATTTGGCCAGCGATTCCACTCCATTGAGCAGCACACAACACTGGCTGGACAGACCTGAAGGTGCTTTGCCAGCTTAAAGCGGGCCATGGAGAAAGGACAGCCATAGGCCGAGTTGAGGCAGGAGACCTGCTCTAAGGGACAGAGCAATTGGTGTTCCTCCTCCTTGCACATGTGAAAGGTGGCCCCGCAGTGAAGGTGGCAGCTGATCACCATGCAGGAGATGGAGGGTTCAATCGGTGCACGGCAGTGCCGGTTGAAACATCTCTCACAGTGCTTGTGCTGCCCAGGGGGAGGCTTCTGAGCCCGATGCTGCAAGAAGAGAAGAATTATTGTCTGAAGGAGCAAGAATGGCCACAGATAGTCAGATTGCCTGGGCTTGATTTCCACATGGTAGGTGTTCCCATGCAGTTCTAGGGGGAATAAGACTGTGGGCAAACGACTTTCAGTTGCGTGTCAGCAGTAATCCCTGCATTACAATGTGGCCTGACAGCAGCTGGGATGTAGGTAGGGTCTTAGGGGGTCTTTAGGCATTATCCCAGCAGAGGTTTGAGAGAGTGAGCTGGTTTCTGTCCCTATATTTGCAGTGATTCAGTCTATTCCAAACTGCTAAAATCAAGACTGCAAAAGAGAGAGTGAGGGCACACCAAGGTTCCCCATTTCCTCAATACTATTTGAGTAGGAAATATGACATTTTTTTGCTCCTCCCTAGAAAAATTAGCTGGTAATTTTGCTAACAAGTGTTGTTGTCCCCCGCCCCCCTCCATACTGACATGACTGTTTCACAAATGAACCTCCCTTTCTTCTACAGCAGCAAGACTGAGAGTGAGGGATATTTTCAAGATCACATTTCCTAGTGTGCTAAACAGCCTGGGTTAACGCTGATTTGCACCATCTTTGCTGTACTTTCCTGTTTTAGCTCTGTCTTCCTAAATGATGCCTCATGCCATGGAAAAGAGACTGCTGGGGACTTTCCTTCTGGCTGGTTTCTCTGTTATATCCACTTGCAGGAGCCAAAGCCCTGAATGAGGTGATGCCTTAATCTGCATTTTGGAGAGGAGCTCCGGAGCACAGTGGAGGCTTATATCAAGGTTATAGTCACCCAGTTAAACCCATTTTCTTTTTTTTTTAACAAACCAATATTCCCATTTGGTGATCACCTCTCTTCCCCTTGCTCTCTCCAGTGAGTGTCAAGCAGATACGAAGGAGGGGAAGAGGGCGAATACGGTTTATACCATGCTCTGTTCAGCACCGCAGCGTGCAGTGAGAGCAGAAAATGAGTGACAAATATTGGACCTTAGCAGAGCTTTTCCCTTCCTGTGACAGTACAGGAGATATCAGCTCTGAGCATGCTTTTTACAGGACGCCTCTCTGAGAAAGAATCTTTTCTTTTACCTCTCTGGGATATTTTTTAACCCGGATCATTTCTCTGATCTATTTTAGAGCATGATCCCACAAACAGGTCATCACCGCTCCAGTTTTCAGTTCATCCTATGTACTTCTGAAAAGTCAGTGTGAAACACTACCAGAAACGGAATAGGTGACTGTGAGTTGGTCATGTTTTATATCCGGCTTTTGAAGATGTTATCTTCAAGTGACACCACAGGGGGCCAGAAGATAGGGAAACAGGTCCCAGGCAACAAGAACGGAAATAAACAAACCAGCCTAGTCTCTGTTTCCTAAATTCAGCTGCCATCAGGCAGTTCCATTAATTTAACATTTTGCAACTGACAGACTGGATTAACAGAAGAAGTTGAGGATGCCAAGACAAATGCTTCAGAAATTTCAACCAGCTTTATCATGTAAACAGGCTACATACTTCCTTAAGGAAGACTGCATTTCGGTTCTCACAATTCCATATTTCTGTGGCTTCAAAATATGTACAAATTTTTCCAATTGGCCTGTCATATAAAAAGGACATACAATATTCCTGAGGTCCCACAACAAAACAGCAGAAGTGCAGCAGTATGATGTATGAAGTTCCTTTTATAAAATGTTACCACTAGCGGCTTACTAGCTTCGTGTGAGAATGAACCACTTATCTGCTTTGGCTTTATTATTGTGTTTTTACTTCTTTTCCAGGAGTTCAATTAAATGGCTTAAATAGGCTAATTATAAAACCTGTTTTCAAAAGTTCTCAACGCCCCTTGCTCATAATATCTCTAACCTTGCAATATTTTCAGGCAGTAGCTGTTACTCTTTCCTAAAAATGGGAAAACTGAGGCATGGAGATTGATGGCAAGTAAATGGAGATGGTGATTAACATGAGGCATCTGTTCCTTTGCTGTAAGAATGTAAGAACACAATAAATTACGTTCTGGGTCAAACCTGTGGTCCACACAGCCAAGCAGCCTGTCTCCAGCAGTGACCCGAAGAGATGCTGTTTAAGGGGAATATGTGGGACATTTTGTGGTCCTTTCCCCTTGTACACTCCCAGCATGCACAAGGGTTGGATTAGAGAATTAGAGGGTGCCCAGTCCTTCTGCAACTTCCTTGGAGCACCAGCTGACACCACTAACTTGACCCCCCAGAATAGCTGCTGCATGTGGAAGAGTCCATACCTCCGATTCTCTGCTCTTTGCTGTAAAGGCCAGGCTGCTTTCCAGCCTGGTTCAGTCTGGCCCAAATCTTTGTGGGAGGGAGAACGTTAATGATAAGGATGAACTGTAGTTCTGCTTCCAAACAGGACCCATGACATTTTTTTCTGTGATTTCTTGTCATAAACAAGACTGGGGGAACTTTTACTCAGTCAAAACGGGAAGAGGATTTTTGACAAGTCTGCTACTGCACTTTCTGTGCGGTAGGACCTACCATAGCTCCATCAGACTCTTGTTTGGCTCTAGGAAAACATATACATTATTAGTAAAATAATTTAGACTTTGTTTTTTCCAAGGTTAAAGAAAGTACAGTGGCAGCATTTACCTAGATGTGAGTGCTTTTGAAATCCCAGGCTTAAGTGACTTAGCCCTGAGGAGAGCTGTGCTGCAGGGGAAGCAGCCTCAGGCTCGAGGAGAAGAAATGCTATGTGATGGCCCTTCCCCTCTTTCTTGAAGGCACTGTTTCAACTGCTCATTTTTCACACTTGCACACACAGGCCATGGAAGTCAGGAACAATGCAGGAGAAGGAAAGTTATCTGGGAAAAGCACTGCAGATTGGTTCCTGCAGTCATTAAAGACTGCACATTTATGTTTGAATTTGATGTGCATTGATTGCTCAGCACGTCTTCATTTCATCCATTGCATCTGCCAACGCTGACCAATACCTGGTCACACCTCTTACTGAATCAACCACATCCCCCCGCCCTGTCTGGCATAGTAGAGGAACAAGTCCTTCGTGATGTCCTTTGACCCAGTCATGTTTGACTTACACTCTGAAGTGTAGGCTCGGGTACCTTGGCCTTTCTTTGCACACGTGGGAAGAGCTCAAGAGAGCAATGCAGAAAAGTAATATTTCATAACTATCTATTAGAGTGTTCCCTGCCTTGTTCTGGGTTCTGCACTGCGTTCTGCACAGAGATGACACCACGATGCTGGCCGGGATGGCCCCAGCCAGATCCAGCTCCTAAACATATACGCTTTAGGATGGTATCTGTCCCTCTTTAGACTGTTTACTTACATCTACTTCTGCGCAGCTCAGAGAAGCAAGAGACACAGATGGATGTATTTCTCGTTGGCAGCATCCCTGCTACTCTCATTCTTGTAGCATTCTGCTGCAAATATAATTCCTAAAAATAGTCCCAGCTATGACTTGCATAAGGTCAGAGGAAGGCTGGGTACATTATGCTGCGATAAAAACATGAATGTATGAACAATACTTTCCATTGCAAAGCTAACTCTCAGAGAGAAATAATTGATAAATAAAAAGGTATCTGAGGCAAGGGCCTTATGGTTCTCCACAACCACAGAGAGGGCTGCTTGCAAAGTGTCTGAGCCTGCTTTCAAATATACACTGTTGGATGCTGAAACTAACCACATCAGAATTACTTGTGTAAAAAGATTTTTTTTTTTTTAATAAGAAGTGACCATACCAGAGCATTCAGATCCAGAATCAAGCTTCATGATTATCCACATCTGCAATTTTTAGTTTAGTTTGCCTCATCTCTAAGTTGTATATCCTGGTCTATGAGACAAATGGTTTCTATAGCTCTCTCCTTACTATTAAATCTCTTAAGCTAGAGGACAAAAAGAAGGGGGAGAGAATTTTTCTGACATATGTCATTCTCTGCCAGGTGTTTTGAACGCTTCTCATATTCTGACATGCTGGTAATCAGGAGCTCTATATTTTAACTGACGAATTAGTTAGCTCCGCATTTTAGTTGATGGTATTATTATCAATGCACAAGTTACACTCAACTTTCAAAACACTAACAGTTTACAAATTCTTGCCTCAGTAAGTTTGCTACATAAAATTCAGAGGCAGATGAGACACACACACGTCAGGTAAGGAAACATTTCTACATACTCATTGTTTCCCTGCAACTTGCAATATCTCCTCAGAGCTGGGTTAAAAAAAAAAATCAAAATAGAAATGCTTATTTGAATCATGCTCAAGTGACTGTGGAATGAAAGGATGTAAATTACAGTCCACGTTCTGTCCACTTCGGTGAATCTTTATTTTTAGACTGCCATGACAGCAAATCAAGTAAGGTTTAAAAATATACAGCTGCTATTCTAACTGCAGATATGTCTGTGTCTGGAGCAGATCTGTTCAGTGATAATAACTTATGGTTTATAAATTAAATATGTTTTGTTTTCAGTAAATATATATTTAATTCAGTTGTAGTCAATACAACTGTTTTCCTGTTTGTTATTTGCTATATGTAGAGGACTGAAAATACGACATACTAAGATAATATATCACATCTGAGTTCTTCGTACAGAATCAAGGGATGACTCCCATTTTAAGGACCCATCAAAAAGGACCACCAGAAACCTCAGATAATTAGTTTACAGAGTGCCTCTGAGATGTGATTGCAAATGAACATAGAACAACCTTTCGAAGACTTACAATGAGATAAGCAGCTCGTAAAAATCTCAGGAAAGTTTGTGTCCAAATATTGCAGCTAAGAATTTTGAAGTCACACATGATGTGACAACAGAAAAATATTTTAAAGGAATGTGAATAT